GGGCCACAGAAGCTGAGTCTGGCTGTCACGGTGATCCCTTTCACGTTGCCCCCCAGCACCTGTTCTGCCTCTGGGCGCAGAGTGTGGCCCATAGCCTCCTCTGGGCAGGTGCAGACCACATGCCACACTTGGCAAGCAGATGGTGCTCTTGCCCAAATTAGTGCCATCGGCCTCTCCTCCGGGAAGTTGCTCACTGACCAGCAAAGAGGGGGGCTGGATTTCCATCCCCAGGTCCCCCCCTCCCCGGTGAAGCCCCGCGTTCACCTCCTGGCCTGTGCCACCACCCATGACTTACGTGACCATCCATTTTCCTCGGAAGGCTGCAGAACTTTCCATGTTCATTATGCTTAAAAAATCAATATTTGCACTTTGATCTCCACTAGGGAAGAAAAGAGAAATCCGAGAGCAAAAACCTGTAAAGCCATATCCAAAGCGCCAACACAGGCGAATGCAATCATTTTTATAAATATTTTACTACGCTCGTGGGCTACTAAAATTGAGAAAACAATTTAGAAGTCTGCAATAGTACACTTTCAAATTATAAAGCCAACCATGCACAATTGTATGTGCTGTAAAAAAAAAAAAAAAAACAACAAAAAACCCCCAAAACCCCAAAAAACCAAGGAAGGGTACAGAAGGCAAGTTGCTAATTTTTATTTCTGGGGGAAATGAGGCTAGAGGGCTTTTCCCCCTTTATTTCTTTTGCTTTTCTTTGTTTTCCAGATTTTGTATAATGAGCCCAAATTGCTTCTTAGACAGTTTTATTACATTTTTGATGCCAGAAAATATACATCAAGCTCGTTGGAGTATAATAATTAGGACCACGGTCTTTGGGGATCCGAGCGTGGGTTTGAGGCCCAGCTCAGCTATGCCCCAGCTGTGACCTTGGGAAGGACACACTGAGCCTGTTCCCCCCACCCCGTGACATGGAGGTCACGCACCGGTCTCAGAGGGTGGCTTCGAGGGGACAGACCAGGCCTGACTTGTTTGAGGGAGCGTGTCACCTTTATGATCATAGTTAGGGTTAATATTTAAAAAGCATTAATGTTAGTAAAAATAGTATCCATCCAGGATTGCCGATATTAATAAAGATGAATGCTAATACACTCTGATATTCAAGATGTGTCCACACGTGAGCTGGAATAGTTTTGTGTTCTGAGAGGCCGCGTGGGGCGGCTGGGGCACGCAGCAGGGAATGGAAGAGCAGGGGTGGGGAGCCCCGGCCCAGCACGCACCAAATGGGTCACTGCACCTATCCCCCCGTGCCGTGTATGTCCATGTCTCTGCCCTCGGACTGCGAGCGCTTGGAGGTCCCCTTAATCACTCCGTCCTTTGCACGCTGCCCCAGGCCAGGCACAGAGCAGGTGTCCAACAGGTGTGTGCTACGTGAATAATGGGACCAGCACCTGAGAGACGAGCTACTCTTGTTCTCGCTGATCATTTGGGCAGGAAGCATTATGGCTTGGTTGGCTAAACGGCCTCCCTGCAGCCGCCAGCGGCTCTCCAGGCTCTGACGCAGGGCACTGTAAGGAGACGGTGCCTTCCAGGAGACCGTCCTCGCACATCTCGCTGGTGACCTTATTTGCAGGAGGAGCTGACACACAGTCTTGGGGGTACATCAGAGGCCGTGTGTCTACCGACTCGGTCAGTGGGGACGCGGGCTCAACTGTCAGGGGGCGGGTGGGTGGCTTGCAGGGTGGGTGGAGAGCACGGCGCTCAGGAAGCACGGTGGGGAATCCTGGGAATCCTGATGACTGATCCAGTGTGTTTTAGGGTCGGACAGATGGTTTTAAATTACATTTATTTAGCACAGGGACACGTAAAGGAAAAATCGCCCTCTGACCCCGCTCAGCACAAACCTGAGGTCTGTGCACTGGGAAGGGGCTCTGGCTCCAAGGGAGGGGCTGGGATGGTGCGGTCCTGTGTCACCGCCATTCCGGGGGAGGGCAGGACTTATGTCGTGGCTGGTGGCGGCCCCTGCTGACGACACAGAGTTTACACGGGAGTTGGTGTTGCTCCCACAGACCAGGCCGGCCAGCCAGCCCAGCCTCCCCAGAAAGGCTTCATGGGACATGGGTCTTCTGGTTTATTTTTTTAATTAATTAATTTTTTAATTGAAATGTATTTGACATAGAACACTGTAAACTTACGGTGTACAGGATGTTGACTTGGAAAATAAAAAAGGCTCTCCGCTTTTAAAACCAGGCCAGCTCCAGCGGACACGGGAGCAGGCTGCCACCCCAGCCTGGCCCTTTAGAAGCCTACCACCAAGGGCAGGTGTTCCTTGAGCCCCTTGCCTGGGGAAGAAGCCTTCCACTGCCTTCGCTGTCTCAGGAGCCCAGAGCCGGTGCAGCCCAGGGGACTGGAGTGGACCAGGGGGCTGTCTGCCTGGGGCAGGTGGCCACGGGGGGTGGGGGTGGGGGTGGCTGGGATGTGGCTGTTTCTGATCCGTTTGTAATTTTGGGGCAGAGATTAAGCACCCAGCACTGGAGCCAGCCACAACCCTCTTTCCCGTTCTCTGGAGCCTCCGTCTTTTAAAGAAATGTATGAGCTAGCAAGGTCACTAGATTCAGGAGTGGACACAGAAGGTCTTGAAGACTGTGCCGTCTCTCCCCCCACACCTGTCCAGCTGTGTTGAGGCGTGCAGAGATGCCCTGGTGCCTTGATTAGGAAAATGTCACCACGCATGAAACCATCAGCCCCCCACAAGAGCAGCTGTCCCTTGATGATGTTCTGGGGATGACGATCCCATGTGGGGAGTGTTCAGGAGTCTTCCAGGGGGATGAGACAGCAGCACATCTGGGCAAATCCCACGGAGATGGAGAGGAGACTGGTGGCTGCCTGGAGCTGGGGGTTTCCAAGGACTGGGGAGTGATTCTAATGGGTATGGAGTTTCTTCTTGGAACCATGAGAATGTCCTACAATCAGTATTGTGCCCTTGAAATGGGTAAATGTTACAGCCTGTGAACTGTGTCTTGAGTAAAGCTGTTACTTAAAAAACAAAAAACAAACAAAAAAAACCCCAACCCACCACCTTACTTTGTACCTCAAAATGCTCTACCCCCAGCTAACCATCAGCAGCAACAATCCCATGAAAACCTCAAATGACAAGCACAAAGACAATCAAAATCAAAGAAGACCTTTTCCCTGGCTTTCCACCCTCCCCCTCTGGCAGGATCTCAGACCGGTGGCCTCCGTGTGGTCCTGGAACTTGGCAGAAAGGCACACTTTTGGCCCCACGTCAGCAATCTGTGTTTCATTGGCCCTCCTGGCAGTTCTGGGCACGTACAGGTTCGGGAGCTGCGGGTGCCCAGGATGGCGGCCGAGAGATCCCAGGAATTGGGGCGGCTCCATCACGGAACCGAGAGGAAGAGAGAGAGGTCGGCCGCTCGAGCCCAGCAGACAGGAGGTTTCTCCAGCAGGTTGTCCGTTTGGCAGGGGAAGAAGAAATGGGCATCAAGGGAGAAAAGAAACACCCCACGAAATATTTGTCAAGCCATGGAAAAGCATTTTAATGACAATCGGCATCACAGGTATAAATAAATATCTTCTTTTTTCCGTCTATAACATGTGCTAGAAATATCTCTTTAAAAGGTCCAGCTAAGGTTATGAGGCTTTCAAGGACCCTTTCTTAGCTACTGATTTTAGTAATTAAAAAAATAAAAACAATGAGTGTCCTGGTAGCCGCAAGTGCGGCCTGCCGAGAGCAGGACGAGCGGCCGCGACCCGAGCCTGGCCGTCCCCCGAGGGCCCGACTCACATCACTGCTTTCTTCTCCGCCGCGCACAGTCGACTTTGGATGAACGCGTTTTGCAATGTGCTGCTACACAATTAGGCTGTTAAAAACCACCGTCGATTGACAATCTAACATAGATTTTAATCTCTCCGGTTCATGCTGGTAGGCTCCGCCCAACAAAGTCAGAGAAACAACTCGAAAACCCTCCAGCAGTTTTCATCTGGGTTCCTCGCTCTGTGGTCAGGATGTCCCGTGACAGCTCTACCGTGGGAGGCTGAGCAGATTATTCTGGGGTACGGCCTCTCCCCCATGGAGGGGACCCGACCTTCCCTCATGTGGGGTCTCCTTGCATCCCCACTGATGGTGGCACTGGGGGCCAGGCCAGCTGTGTCCCCTTGGAACAGCCCTGGGCAGCGTCCCGCCCACTGGCTGTGGCCCTGGGGCCCGGCTGGTGGGGGTAGTCGGGGGTGGGGGGGTCAAGGCAGCATCCTCTCCCCCTCTGGTGTTTAGACCCCCGCAAACATCAAGGCTGGAGGGCTACAGAAAAGCATTGAAACTACTACTTCAAGGATGGATTCATTGAGACTGTTGCTAAGAATTCATCTAACATATAGGAATATAATGTACGTTTAATTTAGGAAAAATATACCATTTGACCCTCGGAAATGAACATTAAGTACAAATCAAGTGGACTTGCAGGACACAGAAAGAAATCATGGTGGGGGGTGGGGGAGACAATGTGGGAGCACAGAAGAGTTATGTGAAGATCGAAAACCCTCAGGTTCACCCCGAGAGGTGCTGGGGCTCTGACCCCTCTCCTCCTGTGTCCCCTCCCCCCGGGGCTGACGGATCGAGGCTGTCCTCCCAAGGGGGCATGGAACCAACACGGAAACTGTGCCTCCGCAGGCCCTCGCTGTGCATTTTGCTCCTTTATTAGAAATATAAAGAGATGATTGCTTCTGTCTTTTTATTTTGTGTTTTTGCATTTTTTAACAAATAATTTTTGGTAGCTTGTCTGTGTTCTGTTCTGACTCATAAAATCGCCTTCCCTCGGTGGCCTTGTGCGCAGGCTGGCGTCTCGGTCAGCCACCTGCCCAGAGTTCCTCCGCTGACTCCCGGAGCTCTGCTGTCACCCGCCGCTGAAAACCCTCGCTGTCGGGGACCCAGGGCCCTTCCCGGCTCCGGGACCTCCGCGGTCTGTGGCCCCAGCGCGGCCTGCTCTGGGTCAGGCGTCCCCAGGCCCACTCTGGGACCCAGCGAGGCGCCGGGCGGACGCGGGCACCTACGCCTGGTCTGTGAGCTTCTCTAGGTAGTCTCTGAGGTCCTCGCTGCCGCCCAGGATGGCGTTCACGGCGGGGCAGCCGTCGTCCGGCGGGACAGTGGTGAAGGTGGAGAACTTCACCTTCTTCCTTTTGGAGGTGGGCGAGTGCAGGGGCTCGAGCCTCGGGTCCCTGGCCGGCCTGGCCGCCGCGTCCGGCCGGTGAACCTGCCCTTGCACGTGCTGCTGGACGCCGCCGTTGAGAAGCAGACAGCTGCTCTCCTCGCTGCCGCCCGGCGCGCGGCCCAGGACCGTCGTGTGCTCGTCCTGCGGCGGCGACCCCCCGCCCGTGTGCTCCAGCAGCTCCGCCTCGTTGCCCAGCCACACCCAGTCGTGCGCGTGCGTCACCGAGGCCTGGCCTTCCGGGGGCACCTGCTTGTGCCGGTACCTGAGGGCGAAGGTGGTACAGTTGACGAGGAAGACGAGGATGGCCAAGCAGAAGACTCCCAGCAGCGCGTACATGCCGATCTCCAGGTCGCTCAGGCCCCGTGGCGTCTGCACCAGGTCGCTGGCCCCCAGCCCGCCCCCCGCCCGGGGCAGGTCCACCTGGGCCGGGAAGTTGGTGAAGTCCAGGGGGATGGTCTGCGGCTGGCCCTCCCCCGACGGCCTGCCCGCGTCCGGCCGGCCGCTCTTCACCACCCTGTTGTCCAGCAGCGGCCTGGCCGTGGTGCCGCCTCTCCGGGGGGCCCCTTCCTCGCGCTCCCCGGAGGAGCCGCCGTGGACGGGCCCCTCGGGCTCCTGGCCCTTTGGCCGGCGGTCGCTGGCGTGGTTCTTGATCTCGCCCTCGTCGCTGTCCGCGCCGCCACCTCCGGGGCTGGAGTCAGCGTCGTTCTGGCCAAACTTGACCCGGACGCTGCCCACGCCCACGGCCAGGACGCTCTTGCGTTTGGACTTTTGGCAGGCCTCCGCGATGGTCATGTCCACTCGGACCAGGGGCCCCTGGCCTTCCCCTTCGGCCATCACCACTGGCCACCTGGGAGAGCGGGCCTGGGGGATGGACACGACGGCCTCGTCCAGGGAGGTGGCGGTCAGGGTGAAGTCCCTGGTATCGTAGATGTCCAGCGGCGTCACCGAGCCGTCGCTGAGCTGGAGCCAAGTGCTGAGCACAGCTTCCTGCGGGGACAGAGGCTGTTAGGAGGACACAGCGTGGGGGCCCGAAAGGCCTCTCCAGAACCTGCCTGCTCTCCCAGAACACAACCCAAGGAATCAGGGGCTGGACTCCGGTCCAGACCTGGCGGCTGATGAATCCAGAGAGAAGACATGCAGGTCTTACATCAAGATCAGAGAATCGCTGTAATTTTATAAGAACAAAAGGAGACGTGCTGTGAATGGCCTGCGTCATCCTCACCGGGGACACCCACAGGGTCGCCTGGCCGAGACCCTTCCCAGGCTTTGTTCGCCCAGACGCTCCTGCCTCCTTGTGTCAGGGCTCAGCCCGTTACCATGCCTGGATCATCCGCGATAACCTCCCTAACTCGGGACGTCGCTCCCATCTGCAAAACCCCGTCCCCTGAGCACGGTTGCACACGCCCAGGGTCTGGGAGCTGGGACGCGGCCGCTCGGTGCAAGGCTAGCCGTGCCTCCTGGGAACCCAGCATGGTTCTCAGTGTCGTCTGTGCACGGGCTCCCTTGACCCTCACGGCCACCCCCGAGGCAGATGTTGTGAACATCACCGCTTCCCATTCTGCCGGCGAGGAGACCGGATCACGGGGAGGGGGGGAGCCCGGCCGAGCTCACCCAGGCAGGTGGCAGAGCTGAGGTTTGAGCCCAGCGCTCTGGCCTTGAGTCCGGATGACAGCGGCTGCCCTGTCTCCTGCCAGTGGGGGCTCTGAGGTCACTGCGCGGGCCTGGGGCTGAAGGAGATGATGTCGGTGGGTCTGGAATTCTCCCCTGTTGTCTAAAACCAGGATTTAGTGACGTGTGTTAGAAGCCCGTGCCAGACACCCAGGGGCCTTGGAAAGGCTGCCAGGGCCTGCCGGGGAGAAGGGGCACCCGCAGGTGTGGGCCTTGGCGGGCCGGCAGCCAAGTCTGCGCGGGTCTGAGTGTGCTCACTTGTGCGTGTGATGCGTGGTCGGGGAGCCTTGGCAGGGGAGGAGGGAGGGTGATGGGAGGCCTGGAGGGGCGGTGGCGGGGGGGCACTGGCCATGACAGGGACCCAGGCTGACCTCCGTGGGACAGTCCGCTGGGGGCAACGGGGGAAGATACAAGGAGCAGAGTGGGGAAGGGAACGGGTGAGGTTTGCCAGGCTGGGAAGAGCATATGGAGCCCCAGGGGTCTGTTCTGAGAAAGGATCCAGGGTCTCCTCTGGTCCTGGCTTCTGGGCATGACAATGAAGGGCAGCGGATTCAACTCAAGTTTTGAAATTGATACACAGACCCACTGCTTCTCCTGGTCCAGTTTTTTTTTAAAAACGAGATTTCTGGGCCCACTTCCCTGCCTGAAAGTGGGAATGTGAACACTTTGACCCAGGGTCTGAGATGGACATCTCTGGGGCTTGGCCACTGTCGATCCCTCCTTCCTGGAAGGGACTAGAACACCAGCTTGGGAGAACCCAGTCTTCCCCACTCAGGGCATGTGCTTGTGATGCAGTGGGGTTGGACCGGCCCCTCCAGGCCCGGAGCTGGGCATGTGACCGAGGTCTGGCCCATCGCAACATTCCACCACCCCGTCCGTGGTGACTGCCCTGGGCAGGGGTGGAACCAGCCACCCCTGGTTGGATGGAAACCAGCCAATGGGACGGGATCCCTGGGCTTTGGCTGGAACCACAGAGGAGAAGCTTGCATTCCCTGGGCTGCCGAGTTGGGGTGCAAGCCAGCGGTGCTCGTGGCCTGAGACTTAGGGGTGGGATCTGCTGGAACCGAGGGTCAGCACAGGGAAAGGAAGAGTTATGAGATGGAGAGAGAGAGGGAGGGAGGGAGACTGTCTTAAGAACACGTTCCAACAACAAAGACTGAGGATCAACTATTTAAAAAACTAGGTAAAAATACACAAAAAAAGCAATGCTAATTCCCGAGACTCAGAAACAAAGAGGGAACGCATACCAGAGGGGGGCCTGCAGACCAGTGCTACTGAGGGGGCCTGGCGGCAGGTGTCAGAGCGGCTCAGAAGGCTCGCCAGCCAGTGGAGGGGGGCTGCTGATGGTCACCCAGGGACTGTCAGATGGGGATGCCTAAGGCCAGGACTGCGGAGAGGGGGCCATGAGAGAATTCTACCCCTGGGCCAGAAACAACAACGAAGCTCATCTGTGCTCTGAGCATGGCTGGGGAAATGTGTCCCCTGGAAACCCAAACCCCACTGCTTCCCCACATCTGGGTGTGGGGTCTGGGGTTATGTGACCTGTGTGTGGCATGGGCTCCAGCAAAGAGCGGCCCGTGCAAATGCAGGCCTGCAAAGAATTCCTACCGGGAGAAAAGCAAAGCAGCCACCAGCTCAAAAGGCACTCTGATTAAAAAAGAAAGAAAGAAAGAAAATTATACTCCCTGAGAGGGAGGGCTTTGCCATGAGAGGGGACCACAAACAACTCATGTCGATCAGCACACCAAGGATTTTGGACACTAGAACAACTGAAAAAGATGACAAAGTAAGATAAACCAGCAACAAGAACAAAATGGCCCGTGAAATAAAACCGTTCACGGGACATGGACGGAGAGGAGGGCGGAGCAGAGAAAGAACAGGATGGTGCGGAAAGAACAGCCTAGACCTTCTAAAAACAAAGAAGGGCTCCACTGGAAATTAATTACCCGACGGCTGGTTTGCAAAGTAGAGTGGAGTAGACACATCTGGAGAGAGAGTCAGTGCCCGGCAGACAGAGCCAGGGAACTGACCCAAAACACAATCTCAGGATGAAATATACAAAAGACAACTTGGAAGAAATGAGGGACAGGACGAGAACGGCCAAGAGTTTTCGGTGACAAGTTCCAGAAGAGAACCAATGGGGGAAGTCAGGAGTCCACGAAATAGTGGCTGGACATCTTCCAAACTTGAGAACAATTGTGGGTAAGAAATATGAAGCTTTTGGGGGGCACTGAGCAGCTGGATCCAGCTTGACCTGAAGGTACCAATCCCCGGGCACGAACTGATCAATGCTGATGTCTTGGGCCAGCCTCGGTTGGGTCTCTGTCGCTGGTACCTGAAAGCCCAGACCAATGCCGATGCCGGCGTCCTGAGAGGGGCAAGTGAGACCACACCTGGAATCTGGGGAGGGCGTGGTGCTCAATGTTGGCACCTGCCCACTCCCCCATGGCCGCTGCCTGCTCAGCTTTCAAGGGTCAGCTCTGCAAGATGGTTTTGCCTGAGGACATTCTCTGGCCTCTGGAACCCAGAAGCGGTCATGCCCGTAGCCAGAAGTGCCAAGGAATTAACACCCTGCAAAGGCAGCCGTCGGCCAGCTCCCTTGCCCCTGGTCAACACTGGCTGGCGGTTTCCCCAGCAGCTGCAGGCTCCGGGAGCCACAGTGGTGGCCAAGCGGGAGACACACTCTACTGACTGTCCTCCATCCCCGGGAGCAGTTTCCGATTCCCTCTGGGGGCTCCCTTCACCACTAGAATTGAGTATTTGAGTATGAGTCTTCGTGCCAGGCTCTGCTTCTGGGGGAATCGAAGGTGAGACAGGCAATACGGCTCAGTAATTTTGCTTCCCACCCTCGTCCCCTCTGTCCATGTCTATCGGCAAGACCCCCTTCTAATGCCCAGGACGGATGCATGAGTGCCCAGGGATTCCTCACTCCACTTCTCTGTCCTGGCTTTTCTGTAACAGATGAGGCACAGGGGAGGCATAGGCTGCTGCCCTCATGCTTACGGGTGTAAAAATCTTTCAGCTTTTGTATCTCAGAGTTGAAATGCCAAGAACAAGGTGCCAGCCTTTTGCACCCCAAAGGCTGACATAAAACACGGTTCACATGGTCTGTGGGTTCATCTTGGTGGACTTTCCATCCTGAATTAATTTTTCTTCACAAACTCTAGATAGAGAAAGAACTTCACACAGAGCAAGCCCCCGAAAGGCAGACGATCCAAGTTAAGGCCCCCGAACCCTGCAGGCTTGCGAGCTCTGTCTCCACCAACCCTGCCGTGTGGCTGAGAGTAAGGCCCTCCGTTAGCTCATTACAGTGAAGCCGGGACACGGGAAAGCCAACGCATTTCCCCAAAGATGAGAAGTTCTGAATGACTTAAAATAACGCTTGCCCAGAAATGATTTAGAGCTCCATCCTTTTGAGAATCACGTCTGCAAGTCGAATGAACTACATCCATAAACCCCCCCTCCCCGAGGCCGCGCTGGGACCTCCAATTACCATGAGCCGATGAAGACGGATGGGAGACATTGCCTGGGGACTGGGGCCTGCCCCACGCCAGCGAGGTTGCCGTGCCGCTCCAACCCTAATGAATTACCCCTGCTTTGTCTCCCCACTCTTCTCCGCTCCCCTTACTTTGCTCTTTAGGAAGCAGAAAACACCACGCCCCCAGGAGAGAGGAGAGGGAGGCCAGCCCCAGAGGAGAGGGGGCCGACGTGGATGGAAATGTGTTCCAGGTCCCCTGCTGATGTTCGGGAGCAAAGTCAGCAAGCGGCTGCGTGATTTCTAGAATGACCCTGCTGCCATCTTTGGAGCCTGGGGCTGTAGGCAGATCTCCTACATGATGCTCTGTTACGCGGCACAGTTGACCGAAAGATAGGGACCTCTGCCTGGATGGTCCGGGTGAGCCCAGGGGAGTCCTGTGAGCCTTTAAAAGCAGGAGATTTCTCTGCTGGCAGCAGAGAGGAGGTCAGAGATGAGAAGCATGAAAGGCCTCCGTGCACACTGCCGGCTTTGAAGATAATGTGCGTGTGGGAAGAGAGAGGGAACATGGGTGGCCTTAGGAAGCTCAGCGAGGGCCCCAGGGACAGCCGGCCAAGAAAGAGACACCTGTCACAGAACTGCAGAGAGAAGAACAAGCAGGGAGGCCGATGAGTCCCCAGAACACCCCAAGAAGAAACCCGCTGGCCAACATTGTCCCGCGGACTTCCGCAGCCCCCATCGCTGTGTTCTGGAACATGGTTCGGCTCCTCTGACCCACTCCTCCCTCCTCCCGCCCTCCTTGCCGAGTCCAGCCCAGCAACTTCCCTGCTCCTCTGCACCTCTGGCCTCGAGGACCCTACCTGTTTGGGGGTCCGCAATAGCTCCTCAGCTGTGGCCACAGCGGTGATGGCTTTGCTCTTCTCCGTGCTGGGGTGGAGGGTGACCGACAGCCCGGCCACAAGCTGGATGGCCAAATCCGTCACTGACACCTTGTCATCTAGCACGGTTACCGTCTTCTCTGCCAGGATAGAGTCGGACAGTGGGGACAACACCTGTGGGATTAACAGGACAGAATATTCCTAGATGTGGGAATCTCCCCCAGCAATACTTCCACCTTGCCCTGGGCCTGGGTCCAGGATACAGGGCGAAGGGATCACACACCTTCTTCACTATAGATGCACCAGCCCATGCCATGCCTCTTTGCAAGAATCAGATAAAGCCACCCTTCCCCAAGACACTTTATCTCTGTCTGTTGGAAAATTGCAATAAATATTAAAATCCATTCCGCTTTAAAAGAAGATGTCCCCTCCCATTGAGATGCCGTGCTCTTGTACACTGCACAACTTGGTTAACTGCACATGGCCATCCTGCTGACTGGGCTCATGAGGAGTCACACACAAATTGACTTTGTGCAACCTGAATCACATTCTAAATGAACTGTGGAACTAACTGGTGAGAGCTGAATTATAAATAATCTACTCCCCCCTCCCCAGACCCCCCGCACAATGTATCCTCTGCTGAAACCTTACTTTTGGCTGCGTCTCATAAACCAAATGTCACCCTGGAGATCTCTAGGTGAAATGATGGAAACGCCCCATTGTTCCCACATATGGCTGTGGTCTCAGGATCCAGAATGATATCCCCAGAAGGTGCAGTCAGGGGGGCACAACTTGAGGGCTTTCGGGAAAAACCATCTGACATGATCTGCCATCTGATCCAAGATCCCACCGTACTATGCATTTCCTTGAACAGAAGGTTAGTAGACTCTGAAGAGAGTTTGCTGGATGAGTCCACGACAGAAAGACTAGAAGCTTTAGGGGAAGAGGGATGCAGCTTCCCAGGGCCCCGAGCAGGAGCAGGACAGAGGGAAGAGGGAGGTGGCTTCTGGGACATGTAGGAGGTAGAAATGTGGGTGGCGGGATGAAGTGAGGGGAGTCGGAGGCAGGACGGGGAGTGCTGGAAGGTGTCGGGAGTGGAGGATGCAGGAGGTGGGAGAGGGGACATGCAGGGTGCTAAGGTTGTATGGCCACCTCCTTCTCCATTTGGTTTGCAAGAAGATTGGGACTCCCAGAGCTGACCCAGGCTCACATTCTGGTGTCCCGAGGATGCCACTCTGGGGGCCAGGAATTGGGCACAGTGACCTGCCCTTCCTGCGAGCCTCCCCCAGTGCCTGGCACGGTGTTTGCGGCTGAGCACGCAGAAATCCCGGGCTCCCTACCTGGATGGTGGTCATCCCGACCTCCTGCCCGACCAGGACCCTGCTGTCCTGGAGGGTGGCCACGTGGGGTTCCTCCAGCTTCATGAAGTCTGCCACCAGGTGGGTGACGTCGACCTGCCAGTCAGGGCCCAGCATGTAGCTCAGCTGGCCCCACGGGCCGGCACCCTCGGCCACGAACTGGGTGAGGACGCCCACGGTGGCGTGCTGGTACTGCAGGGCACAGCCGCGGCCCCGCCGCTCCTCCTCGTCTTCATCCTCGCTCTCCCGCGTGGGCCTGCGGGGAGCCAGAAGAAGCTCTCAGGCCCCGGGAATGGATTCAGAGACGCGCCAGAATCCCAAGCCAGACAGGCAGGTGCCTGCCTCCGCCCCAGGGGACAGCACCCCGGGCGGGAGACTCGGGACCCCACCGGAGTGCCAGGTCCATCACAGGCAGCGCGGAGGGTCGGACATCTCTTTCTTGGACATAGTCATTGACGAAAGACTTAAGAGCCAACATTGACGAAGTCTATGCTGTCCAGTGAAGAAGTGGCAAACAGCCATGTGTGCCTGTTTCCAACTTAATTTAAGTGAGTAAGAACAAAATCGGGAAAGTTGAAATTTCCTTGTCACAGAAGCTCTATGGCAAGTGGTTCACAACCACACGTGCTAGTGGCAGCTGACAACGTGGTTCTAGAACATTCCACCACCGCAGCAAGGTCTGGTGAGCAGAGCTGTGCCATGCTCTTGAGATGAGCCCGTCTAGGCTCCCCAGCTATGGGCTCTTCATCTCATAACCCTGTGAGGCAGAACTAGCTGTTGTTATGTTTTGGGGGGTGTGAGGGGGCTTGGGGACCGTGGACAAGCTCACAGAGCTAGGAAGTCTCGGGTCTGCCGTCCCCGGGGACACAGCACCCTCGTTCTCTTGCTCCCTCATGACCACCTATCAGTCTGAAGGACTGCCCCTCCACAGTTGGGTCAGATTCTTTCAAGCTCTCCTTGGGGAGAGGGGGGCAGCTTCTTCCCAAATGCATGTTGGCTTGCCCCTTAAAATGAAGACCTCGCATCTGGGAGACTCCAGGAAACAGCCCCGAGAGTTCAGGACAGAAGATCCCAGGCAAGAGAGACAAGGGATGTGACATCAACTCATTTGCTGACCGGGGACGGGGGGCGGGGCATGGGGCCGAGGAGACCAGACCCCAGATCCTACATGTGGCAATCCAGAGTCACACGGAATAAATTAGAGCCTTGTTTTGTTTGTTTTGGTTTAAGAACAAATAGTAAGACCATGGTCCAGTATAAATGCCATCACATTTTATGCAGGAATCTCTATGCACAGAACTGATCAAGCTTACGGATATTTGTAAAGCACCAAGAAGGAAATCACTGCTTCACTTTGAGAAAAGAACCCCAAACTCAAATCTCCCTGGGGGCTGAGGGGCTAGAAAAATGTATCACTTCTGTCGCTTCCTTCTGGGGGAGTCCTGGTCTACCAGACACCCAAGTGCAGTGTGCAAATGGTCTGGGGTTGATGAAATCATACCCTGTTTAGACTCTTGCCTGGTTACTCTGGGCCTTGGTGAGGCTAGAAAAATGTAGTCTCACGATCATACCAGCGTCTACTATGTGCTGGGCCCTGTCCTGGCTCTGGCACGGGGTCAGTAAACAAAACCATTGAGATCATGGCCCTGGTGCATCTCCCCATCCCAGGCTTACCTCTTACTGGCCACAATGGGGACCCTCCAGCCTTTGATCTGGCTCAGCTCTGTGTCAGAGACCTCAATCTGCAGGGGCAGCCGGGGCACCCACACGGTGATGTGCAGGGAGGCACTCAGATGCTGGTAGGTGAAGTTCACCACCGCATCCACCTTGCCCTTCATCTCCTTGCCATTGACAAAGATGTAATCGCAGCGGTCAGACACCTGTAAAGACAGAAAGGGGGGTGGAGAAGTCCCCGGGCCCTGCAGACCACTCTTCTTCCATTTGTCTTTTTCTCCAGCAAAGCACACATGCTTAATTTAGGGTCCTCCCAAGGCAGAGCCTGAGACAAGGATTCTGTGCACTTGGTCTACTTGGGAGATGGCCCCAAGGAAGAGGGGCTGAGGAGCAGACTGAGAGAGACAGAAAAAGAAGATAAGTCGATATAAAATAGATAAGTCAATAGAAAACTACATCTTTATTTTCTTTTACTTTTATTTTTGTCTTTTTGCTATGGATCAGTTTCTCTGGAACCTCTTGAAAGCCTACAAAATTGTCCCCCTGAAGGATAAGAGGCAGAAACATTATCTACCAGCTCCCATCTCTCAGCACCCCCATGTGTTAACCCCCTGGCACTTCCAGGCTGACACCCGAGCCCATGGCATCTGAGAAGACCCTGGGATAGAAAACTGTAGTAGCTTGAGCTGGAGTGTGGTCCAGTCACAAAGGGAGCTGCAGCCAAGTCTGCCGTCTCAGGGGGCTCCAGAGGTGTCTGTTCCCCAGGCTGATGTCTGCTCATGAAATGAGCCACACCCCAAGCAACCTCCTAGGACCTGAAGGGCTTGTGCTACCTTCTTCTTCTGCAGCATGACCACTGATCTCCTCTGATCATGCACACTCCTGACAGTCTGAGACATCCAGGCCTCTGCATCTGGGGCTCCCTTTGCCTAAGAACACCCTTTCTTCCCTACTGGCCTGGCCAGGAACCTCCCCAGTCTCCAGGATCCTTTATATATTTGTATTATAACTGTTTAGCCTGTGAATAGCCACAGTGCATTAGTGACTACCAACCTAGGTCCCCTCCTCCTGCAGTCCTCCCTTTGCTTTTCCCATTCCTACCACATCATTGCCTCAGGAAAGGGCTGAGACAGAGCACAAAGCAGGATAAACACATAGAAAATAAAATAAAAGTCTGCAAGCATTAAGATTTTGTGTTCCAAAGTCTAAACCTTTAGGGAGATGAATCTGTACACAGCCCCACGGACATTCTCATGTGGGAAAAAAACCACCAACAACAGGAAGACGCCTGTGTCCCCTAGGAGTGGGCTGGAAGAGGCACCACGGACAGGGGTGGGACCATATGTGAGGTAACTCTGGTAACAGATGCCCGTAGGGACTGTAAGCAGAACATCTGGAGACAGGAAGCATCCCCCCCGTCCCAGGGCCTTGGCAATATTTACATCTTTTGAAAATTGGACTGGGATTATGTTCTGTAGCCCTAATGAATTGAAAACTGAGACTAGAAATCAACTAGTGTTTTCAGGAAATGACATGACTGTCTTGCATATTCAAGTTGATAAAATGTGATTTATACTGGCCCCATGTGACCAGATCGACCACCAAACTATGAAATACTTGAAGGAAAGAAGTACATCTTTTTAAATCCTTGATCTCTTGGTTCCACACAGCAGATGCTCATGAAACAGGAGCTTAGCAGAGAGGCTACTGAATGGACAGATGAATGAATGTATGTATGCACAGATGGATGGGTGGGTAGATGGACGGAAGGATGGATGGATGGATAGATGAATCGGTGAAGTATGTATGTTTGGGTGTGTGGATGGGTGGGTGGTGGATAGATGGGTTCATGGATGGATGGATGAGTGGATGGATGGATGGGTGAGTGGGTGGATATATGGATGGGTATATGGATGGATGGATGGATAGATGGGTAGTTGGGTGGGTGGGTGGGTATATGTATGTATGTATGGATGGATGGATGGATGGATGAGTGGATGGGTGGGCTGATGGTTGAGTGGACAGGTAGGTGGATGACCAACAGGACCCCTTCTTCACGGAGATGCCTGCTTTAGGACAACCAAACAAGGATCTTGGGGTGAGGGGAGATGTGGTTAGAAACTGAGATATGACAGAGCCAAGAGCAATGGAAATGCAAGACATTTACTTGAAAGCTTCCAGAAAGTTCTCAAGCAGTGTTTCCTAACCTTTTTGGGGCCACTGACTCCTTCAAGAACACATGTCAAGCTAATTCTTGCTATGGGCATACATATACATACAGTTTTGCATAACATTTTGGAGTTAATAAAGTCACATGTGGAGTCCTCATATAGCACTTACCATACTAAGCTATAATTGCCAACTTGTTCAACTGTCTCTTGTCAGGACTGTGTACTCTAGAAGGAGCAGTGTCTCCTTCCGAGGGTCTGCAGACCCTGTTAAATCACATCAATGCTAAGCAGTGAACTCGTGTGATCACCCTTTCTTTCCTCAGCTTCTGGGAGCCATGGATGGCTACTCTGGGCCCAATTTTCATCTCCCACTCTTGCTTCTGTTTGGAAGGGCAGCTGGTGAGGGCTGGGCTGAGAGAATTTCCCCCATCTGCTGGGGACAGTGGCAGGGGCAGCTGGGAGGGGAACACAGGGATGGATCTTCTCACTCATGGTCAAGAGTGGTTTAAAAATGTTTACCTACTGATTAAGGGCGGAAACCAATTTTAGTTGCTGTCCCAGACTTGCCATTAGCATGTAAACACTGTCCTGGATCTGGGCAGACATTAGCATAATAGCCGAGCAAGAGTTATATCAGTAATCACTTCTTTAATCAATGTTGTAATTTACAGACCATTGACTTCGCTCATTTATTACCTTTCTGAGCTCCGGTGGGAGGGAACCTGACCGCTCCAGAATATATAAATAATTAAGACGAACGCCAAGGGTATGACGTTGTGGTGCATGATAGAGCCATTGTCACTGCTATTCCTGCAGGTGTCATAAGTGTCTGGGGGAAGTCTCGGGGTGCATTAATCATCTCCTAAGTGGCTAGAAGTGAGAACCACAATATCACAAAATGAGTTGGCTTATCTGCAAAATAGGAACCGAAAAACCCCACAGGAATCTCTTCAGTCCCTTGGCTTCGTTTCTCGGACGCTTTCTCATCTTTCGTGGTGGGCGGGCCGCCCACTGGGAAAGCTGCCCGCTGGCCTCTGCCCACTCGGACATTTAAATGCTCCTGTCCAAATGCATGGTGACCACTGACCCCGCCACCAAGTCTGCTCTTAGGACCTGGAGGGGCCAGGGTGGGTCTGGTTGAGTGGCACGTGGTCAGTGGACATCTTCTGTTGTCACTTGGGCCTTGGCGACTTCCTTATGACATAGCCCGCCTCTTGTCCATGGGGAACCGCTTGGGGAGCATTGTCCGCGGGGAGGGCAAAGCCACCTGCTGGCCAACCATTGACATCCAGTACGACTTCTGCCTAAAACAGCAGCCAAGCAGGTTCCAAACTCAACATCCGAGAGGGCAGGTCAATACACAGACGGTTGGACACACCCCCAGCGTCTGCGACCGATAAGGTCTGAGGAGGGGGACCCACGACTGCATTTCTAACGAGGTCCCAGGTGACGCGGATGCTCTAGGTCTGGGGACCGCATGTGGAGACTGGCTCCTTGAAATAATGCAATCCTCCCTCCTCCGTGTCCACGGAATCTTCCGTTTCCAGTCTTAGTGCATTCGGGCTGCTGGAATGGAGTGTGGCAGACTGGGTGCTTCCGGGATGGATGGCGGTTTCTCACACGTCTAGAGGCTGGAAGTCCCAGCAGAGGACACCAACGGATCCCTCATCTGGTGAGGACCCGTCCCACCTCACAGATGCCACCTCCTCGCTCCGTCCTCCCGCAGCGGAAGGGGTGAGCGAGCTCTCTGTGGACTCTGTTCTAAGGTCACTGATCCCACCCCACCCACGAGGGCCCCCACCCTCACGACCCGGTCACCTCCCCAGAGCCCCACCTCCTCACACCATCACATTGCAAGTTAGGGTCTCAACCCAGGAATCGGGGGAGGGCACGGAGACATCCAGTCCATAACACTCTCCTTCCATGACTACAATCGTTCCTTTACAACGCTTCCAACCACCTCTGTGCCAATGACTCCCAGAAGCCGACCTCCAGAACCCAGTGACCCAATGCCTTATTCAGCACCTCCCCCCGGATCTCTAATTAGCATCTCAAACTTGTTATGTTTGGAAATCAAACTCCTAGCATAGTTGTTTTGGTTTTGGTTTTGTTTTTTTGTGGGTTGGTTTTTTGGTTTGTTTCTTTGTTTTTTGCCACTTGGGAGCCTGAGGCTGGAAATAGAAATTAAATTCAGACACAAAAAAGTCAGATTTACATTTCTCGTACTCCTGAGTTTGTGGCCTAGCTCTATTCACACAAAATACCGCTCGATCTTGTGCGGCGGCGATGCCTTCTTCCAGAAGAACGTCGGCAAGGTGCTTTCCTCATTTCAGTCCTTTTCCGGAGCTGCAGGCGGCCATCATTTTCCCATTCTGGAGAAGAGGAAGCTGGGGAGCTGCGCCTCGTGGACGGGGGGCTGGCCAGCCGTGGTGAGACGGTGGAGGCCAGCACCTGCTGATGGCGGCTGCAGATGGCGGATTTGCTGGACGGCTTTGACGGTGTTGTCTTCACAGGCAACAGCCTGAGACTGGGGCCTTGGAAGTCACCCTTGTGCCGCAGGGGGTGTTGGGGTCATCTCCGTTCCTGCCGGCAAGTGAGCGGGGAGAGGAAGGAGCTGAGAGAGGCCGCTGGCCGGCGAGTCTGGGAGGGATCACATCTGCTTCCTCTCCATAGGCTGCCCTTGCCGTCCGACCCTTAGCGCATCCCAAACGAGCCCACTTGGACAGGCTGGATCGGTCCAAATCTGGGCCGGAAACAGACGCTACATGCGACCCGGAGGAGAGGGTGACAGAGGCACTCTGGACAAAGCTGTGGTGCCGACTCTGGGAAATTAGCAGGAGACAGCACCGCACGCCAGGCAGACGGGGGAGGGGGTTCAAGAGCAGCCTCCAAAATCCACGTGCCCCAGAACCTCAGACAGGGAGCTGGTGTGGAAATAGGGTCTTTGCAGGTGTCATCGGCTGAAACGAGGTCATACCAGCTCGGAGGGGGCCAAAAAGGGCTGGTGTCTGCACAGGAAGAGAGGAGGATGTGGA